TGTTTCGTTGTGAAAGCGAAACTACTTTGTTTGGCCTTCCAAAAATGGACACGACTAGAAATCAGTGGTTAAGTTGTATTTACAACACTGTTCCAGAACACTTCAACCCAAATATTCAGATGTGTGCAGCACATTTTATGGAGGACTGTTTCCTGATCCTGGTAGAGTAGACTACAATACTGGCTGTTCTGACTCACAGATTGTAAGTACGTTTTTTATATTTAAAGAGTTTTTATATTCCATATTTTTTATATTTAAAGCGAGTTTTTGGGCAGTGTAGAGTAGGGCTTGTTGTTTGTCATTTCTCCGATCACAAATGCAGACATGGTTTTATGTTTACGTGGCGCAATGCAACGCAATGCGTAAAAAAAACGTCATTATAATCCATAATTATGTCCCCACTGGATGCAACGAATGCCTCGTTTATAATGGGTTTTCATGTTTTTTGAATCATCGCTCCGGCCTGACAGGACATCATCACAGTATGGTAAGGGGCGTAACATTTCCGTCACATGCTTGAGGTATTCGGCCAATCATAACGCACTGGATAGCTGGCCAATCAGAGCACACCTTGCTTTTCAGACCGATGAGCTTTGTAAAAATCGACACGTTTCAGTAAGGCGGGGAATAGAGGAGAAACAATAATGTACAGTATGAGGAAAATAATGTGTTTTTTTAACCTTAAACCGCAAAAAACACATTTCATTACACAAAATAATGTTATTTTTTAGCAACATCATATGACCCCTTTAAATATAATGTTCTGGAAAGACTGAGTGAAAAGTCTAAAACATCTCTCACCTCTCACAATAACACAATAAGAAACCCAGCAGAAACAGCAGAAGGACTGACACAATACTATACAACCACGTCCACCAGCCTTGTCTGCTGATATTCCCTACATAACAGAAACATGGTGGGGGAAAAAAAACTGTAAGAAGACAAATGAGAGCAAATCTATCCATGTCCCTCACTATGTGATAGTAGTATCTCACCGGTACTGCCCCACTCCACCGGATCACTCCAGTCACTCCAGAGATCTGAATCACCACAGGTGTCAGCAACAGTGCTCCGCACTTGGAAAACATAGGGCTTGTTCTGTGAGACCTGAGACAGACTGTATGACGTACCTGTCACGTTTGAGGACTGGGAGCAAAAGACAGATGAAGATGAGACAGTTGGCAGTTTGAATGTAAAATGGTAATATTATATCTCTTGTCTCACCTGGCTTGTGTCTTTCTGGTTGCGCACCATATAGATGACACATTTTTTTGTGGTGGGGGAACTACTGTTCCACTGCAGTAAAAGTGTGCTGTCCTGCTCATTCCACATCACTGAGAGGTTATAGGGTGCGTTTAGCTGCACTAAACAAATACATGTACAAACACAAACAAATGAGCCACTGGTCTGGATATAAATATGTCAGATATTAAATGGTAACTTGTCAAATAACTAAATAAAAGGACATTAGATATTGATTTGAAATTATTTTATTATGCAAGAAGAGTGACAGAGGACATCTAGAACTACCGTGACACAGCTGAAATCTGTTCCCTGGGATAATGGCCATAGCTTATGATTCGTTGGTCATTATGAACGATTGCAAGGGTGGGGAAATTCTGTAAATTAATAAACTACACTACTGCTAAAAAATGGTAGTGTAGATTCACAAGCATTTTTTGACAGACCATTGAAACGTTGTAAATCTGTTGGTTTTCTTACCTTTTCTCTGGAGGGATTCAAAGGTTTTTGAAATAGTGTGATTTCCGTCAGTGGATACATTTGTATAAAATTTTCTAAACTTGTGACCAGGGTCTTTGAGAGGAATTCTGCAGCCTACAGTGTAATTGTGCTCCATTATGTATTCTGGACAGTCTTGTGAAAAATTCTGGTTAAATCTGACAAAAAAATACAAAACACTATTGTCTTATATTATCTCTAATTTATCAACTACCACAAAACAACATTCATTACACACACACACACACACACACACACACAGTTGGGATAAATGTATTAGGGAAGGTGGGTGAAACGGGCTGCCACTTACGCACTGCTGAAGGTGTAGTTCATTGTTGATGTGTTTGGGTGCCAGAAGCACTCCACATACTCAAGGTTGATGATCTTACACTGTACACCTACATGGGCAAACATGATTCAAATTAATTCATGTAACAACTCATTAATACATTTTTTCACATTACTTTTTTTTTTTTTAAATTTTGAACTTGTTTCCTGCAACCCACATAGACATTAAACTAATCAGTATCAGAATCTCAAACCTCAGCAGCATCATCACAATTACCATAGACACAAATGACATACAAGAGAAAAACCATGGAAATCCCCACTAAAACCATCTAAATGTAGCTCTCAAACTTTTTGCTCTTCGAAAACCAAAACTAAATGCAAACATACAATCAGAATACTCTTATACAATCAATATTTTCAGTAAGAATTATAATCTCAAACTTATAACTTATAACTTGAAATTTGCTTAGCTTTAATTTATAACACAATTAACTACAAAACATTATTCAGTATGGTGTTGTGTGTAATTATATACTTACTCAGATCAACTGCTGAGCAGCATCGTTGAAAGGACAGAATTAAGAACAAAAACCCAAAATATAGTCTTGATGTGTGAACGTAAGTCATGCTCTCTGAGCGTCTGAGTAACAAATGACTGTGGTCTAATACTACACAGGATGTTCACTACAGCGTTTCCTTCACAACTTCTGCTTCAAGTATAAATAAGATAAGCAACCTGACAAGTTTCATTGTCACTTTATAGAACAAAGTCATAAGGAAAAATAGGTATAAAATTAATTTTTTATTAGCAATTACTGTAATTTGAAATGAATAGTAGTAATAATAATAATAATGTTTTAATTAGAATATATTACAATGGCTAAATAACAGCTTAATTTAATATTAACAAGTGACTTTTCATATTTGAACACAAATAATGTGTCAAAAAAGACAGCACTGCATAATACAGCTGCACCACTTGTGTCTGTACCATCATTATACACTCCTCCAGTGCATATATCATCTAAGGTCAATTATTAGTTTGGCAAAAACCAGTTGTTTTAAAAAAAAATCAATTTCCTGAGGGTCCAGTGCAGGATTTCTCATTAAAACAGGTTCAGCCTCGGCCCAAATTCTCATCTGAAATCATCCCGGTTCAAGAGAGAGCTCTCAAACAAGTCCAACGGCCTTATCTAAAAAGTTGGCGAAGTTCTGCGGTTGACCCGGCACATAGGTTGTCAAAGCAGACAGATCCATATCCCTCAAAGTCTGAGGCAGAGTACTGTGACGTAGGGTGAAAAACACACGAAGATGGACATTTCCAGACAGCACAGCAATTTAACCATAACAATAATCTTGAGCACTAAAACAGTTGAGAAAGTGAACCTGCAAGTGCAGTAGATAAGATGTGAATCTGCCTGCAGCTGCTTTGCGAGCTCCAGCTGGTGATTGTCCATTAATTTATCATTGACCACCACGAGGAGAGCTTTATTTGCTCCGAGTGCTTCCAAACAGCTTCCTGCTCCTAATGGGGATAGAGCAGATATTATGATCTAAAACTCATTTCTAATCCGAGTTCAACTTTAACAAATGTTGTGTTATGTAGGTTATTATAAAATCAAAACTGAAGAACAGGGGGTGTAACTGAAGAACAGGGGTTTAGTCCCCCCCCCACCACCAATGATAGTACAGTACTATTAGATGCATTGTTTATTTGAAAAAAAAAAATTGCATTTTTTTTTTAAAAATTTCCTCTAAACATTTCCCGTGGCCCCTAGCTCTACCTTGCAGCCATTAGTTTGAAACCCCCTTCATTATATAATACATGTTTTTTAACAGACACATGTATTGCAGATATCACACATTTTAAAGTAGAAACATGGAATTTGATTGTTTGACATTTATATTTGTCAAATATATGAACTATTGATCTTTTATCAGATGATTATTATAAAGAGTTTCCTTAATTTGCCTGCATCAAAAAGAATCAAATTAATTTATGCTTGAACTGTACTGTATTTAGTGTTTGGGGCAAAGTGGGCTTCAACACACCAGCATGACTGATGACCAGATCTGAGTGTCTCATGTCCTCGGCGATCGAGTCTTTGTAATGAAACACTTGAAGTGTCAGTCCTGGACAGCTGTCTGGATCAGGCACAACTGAACCTCTGCCAACCTGAAGCACCATGTCTGTGTAGCCACGGTCAATTAATGCCTTCATTCAGAAACATGGAAAGAGTCATGAAAGTGAGCCTTGAGATATTTAAAACCAAACCTTATAAATCTAGCTCACGTTTACCGACAAGTATTTGTGACTATCAGCTTACATTTCCTTAGCACTTCTTCTCACTATGTATGAATGACATTCTTACCTTCACGGACTCATCTGAAGTCACAGCGCCAATCAGATCATCAAAACTTGTCGTTCCGACAGTTACAAATACAGTTTTCATTGCATCAGTATGGCAGGCTTTACCAAATGTAACAGAAAACAGAACAAAAATGAAAAAAAGAAACAGACAAATGTAAACATGAAGGGTCTCTTAACACGCCATCATTCAAAATAAAAGTCCTAATGGCTTATAATGGAACTACTAGAATCAGGTGTGACTGTCTCTAAAATTATATATTTTTCTTTCTCTCTTCTTATTTTTTTTTAAACAAAGTATTTGGGGAAAAAAAAAAATTCTTTAAATCTACATGACCCACTCCGGTTATGTAGAACATTTTCAGCTCCCCTTCACATATCTTTATATATTACAATAAACATTGCACTTTAAAAAAATATTAAAATCATTTTCTATCATCAAAATATCACAATTACTGTAGGTGAACATGGGGAGAGTTGTAAATATGTTCACTTTGAATATGTTTCATAGAAATATGTCCATAAACACAGGCATATAAAAGCTCAAACGGTACTGCGTAACTCCAGTAATTATTAAAACCTTTTATATTAAAACCTATTCAGCACCCTTTACACAATTAAGTGGTTCTCAATCAGGGGCCCTCAGAAAATTTGCAGGATGATTTAAAAATGATTTAAATGAATATATTATCATTATTAATAAAATTATTATTAAAATGTGTAAATATGTTAAAATAATTTCAGTAGCAACATAAAGATGTAAGATTGGAGGTTGAGAGGCAGTGGGGTTCGAAAACCACTGCTTTAAAGCTTTCTTTAGCAGGTAATTGCCGTTTCAAATGCTCATAATTTTGCTTTGCACACTTGAATCTGGACCCCAAAAATCTTTTTTTTTTTTTAAATATATTCTCTAAATCATTAGTAGGCTGGATAGTGAACTCTGGCTAGGTAACGCATGCACATTTAGAGACTCCATAAGCCACATTTATGACCACAAGCCTTTGGACTCAGAAGTGGTTTCTGTCAAGTCACTCAGCCACAGCTATCTGATCAAGTGCTGCAGATGGTCATCCTTCCAGCAGGTTTCCAATCTCCACACAGAATGTTGCAGCTGTTAAAGTAGCCAATACAATATATAAACCACAGGCCTTACAGACAAGCAGCATAAGGATGAAGCTTGCAGGTTCAACATGTGTTCAATTACTTGAAGGCGTTGTATTTTTTGTATTTAAATACTATTTTAAATACTTTTAAGAATGCACGTGTTCCTATTTCTTTGTCCTCTCCATTACGATAAACTGCAACAAAATCCTGAATATCAGTCAGATGTGTATAACAAAACATCTATTTCAGACATTGGGTTTCCACTACAATAAGACAGATTGTTGGGAACTGATAAACGGCTGATTTCCAGGCAACTTAAAAGGTCATTATCAAAAGCCTATTGTGAGGTTTTGCATGCATTCATTCATTTCGAGTTCTTTATTTAGTTGTTTTCGTTTAAATGTCTCAAAAATTTAATTGATAACCAATTTTGGGATTTTATGTGCTTATAGTGATAAAAGCCAAAAGTAATATCTGCAATACTGTGCTGAATGGACTATTAACATTTTAAGTTTCTATTGAAGCAGTGGTGGAAACGTGTCCAAAACATATTGTAACTTGTTGGGCACAAATAATATGCAAGAGACACGAAAATAAAATACAATAAAAGAAGGACTGACTCAACAGGGGTTTCAGACTGTAATCATTTAAGGCATCATCAATGCTGTACTTCAGAAACAATACATACTGCGGTCACAAAAAGCCAAAACAGCCAACGGAATATAAAAACGCAATATTTATCTATCTTGGTAATTAAAGACTTTAATAAATAGAGTATTAGGAGAGAAAGCATACATACCAGTAGTTTAAAAAAAATCCAAAGGGAGAAAAACGAAACGTTAGATATTGAGGTCTCAAACCTGCATAATGGCTGTTACAGCTTAACAATTAGATATCAAACTTAATGTTAAAAGAAAAAACGGAACATTTACAACAGAGCATCTCCAGGGGTATTATAGCCCTGAGCTGACCTGCTCGTCATAACCCTTTTCCCTATATAAGAAAAATAGCTATTAATAGCCCTGTCACAGATATCCCCATTCCCAAAAGTTTTCTGTGCTCCAATTTGCAGACTTGACTTGTTTTCAGGTAACCAAAACAGAACTTGAAGATATTGTATGTGTGCTCTACAATCCAGACCCAGTGGATTTGAGTTTTGAAGACCCTGCGATGATTTATTTCTGGACAGCAAAGCCAAGCCTCGGCCAGATGTCCTAAGTGTCAGAGTTCAAGGGGCTCAGTGGCACAGGTGTGGCTCAGAGGGTCATGTGATAAGAGACTGGTTCAAGAGAGCATCCATCTGTATCATGTGTCTAAGAAACACAGAATTGAGAAAAAAACATTCAACTTATTTTTGAAGTAAGAGCGGGCATGGCCATTTCCAACTTTAATGTACTTGGGCTTATCTGTACAAAATATGTTATTCTCTTTTTTATTTTTTTTATTTTTTAAGAACGTTGGTAACCAAACAGTTGCTGGTAGCCATTAACTTCTATAGTTTTTTTTTCTTTCCATACTATGGAAGCCAATGGCGACCAGCAACCCTTTGGTTACCAACATTCTTCAAAATATCTTCTTTTGTGTTCAACAGAACAAAGAAACTCAAACAGGTTTCGAACAACACACTGGTTTGTAGCCCACAAACTAGGGGTGCACGATGGTTCTGTGATCAGCAGTAAATCTCCATCCAAAGACCAGAGGGCACTCTCGCACTGAAACTCCAAATACGTCTCGCAGAAGAAATCCAGAAAATGCCTAATGCTGCAGCTGAATAAATAGAAGATTCAACTGCTTTCATTGATTCAACGTGACTAATAAACACACGACTACGGCAATGTATGGTTTATCGGAGTTCTTATTATAATTTTAATTCAAATAAAGTATATTCATAATGCAATGCCTTTATTACTGCTTAAATACTATGAAAAATGTTGCGTGCATTATTCTGTGTAAGAAGCCACATCATCTCACAGAAGGATTTCTTTCAAACACTCGACTGACGTTATGAAGTGAGTTGAGTAAAAATGTTTTTACATGTGGTATTTTCACATGCTTTCAGATGGAGCAGCATGTACTTCACAGAGCCGTAGTTCACTGAGAAGCTATGCAAACAGCTGTCATTATCGCAAACGATTTCAGAATCGCCCAATAAAATCGTCTGCGATTTTTTTGCGTAACTTGTCAGTGAACTACGGCTATGTGTAGTAAATTCTGCTCCATCTGAAAGCATGTGATGATGATTTCCTGCTGATTACAGAACCGGCATTACTATCAAAATGTGCATGACAATCGCATTCGATTAATCGTGCAGCCCTACTACAAACCATACCTTTTACTGC